AAAGTCACAACTGCCTTGCCACCCTCACGGTCTCTCCCTCAGAAAGAGGACAGTAAATCAATGTATGAACTGCTTAAGACCGGTTTTCTGTGAGGTCGTCTTAAAACTGCGGCTTAGCCTACTCCATATGTCCCGAAACATGGCTCTCTCACAATTCTACAGCAGTCGGTACACGAGCCAAGATTACATTTGCCTCGGTGGCGGTGGTGCAGTGGTAGCGTATGCGACTGCTGTGCTGCCGCCTGGGGTTCGATTCCCGGGTCGGATCAAATGTTTGTATGATCTGCAAATATTTTTTTCGGAGTTTGGGTGTTTTCTATGTATAATATGTATGTATCTACAAAAAAAAAGTATTGTAAGTAAAGTAAAGTAAGTAAGTATTCTATCAGTGAATCTAGCTTTCATAATACAAGCTCTGGTTTGTTTGAAACTAGATGGCGTTGTGTGTTAGGTGTCCGAAATGTTATTATTATTATTTAGCAAAACATTCCACAAAGAAATAAACTATATGAGCCATCACATGCTGGTCCCAAGTAGCACATTACATGGGCAATTAGGCAATATAAAATATATCATTTAATTAGAAATATAATACATTATAAAACAGTTAATGGCTAGTACAGAAAAAAAAAGTCAGTTGAATAAACGGAAGAACGAATGCAAGTATATGCTCACACAGTTTCTCATGCTCACATGCCACAGGAAAATCATTACATAGGTTCCAAAAATGGCACAAACCACTGTGTCTTATTTTAATTTCCTTTTTAATGGGTTAACACTTTATTAAAGAGTACAAATTTAAATTTATCTAGAAAACTTTTTATACTACATTCTTCATTGTCCCATAAGACCCGTGATCTAATAAAGAGTATGTAATAAAGACTTGCTAGTACACACTCTAATTCCTCTGAAGTTAACGCAGATATAATATGTGAAATGTTATCTCTAGTTATATACTCGTATATATAAATCTTAAGTTGGTTTGTATATGTCACCGGAAAATAACAAGAACCGGAAATGTATAATTTTCTAGGCAATTTATAAACCTTCGTAGGATACTTACTTATGGTAGGTATACGCTTCTTCAACCTAAAAAGTTCTGCAGCGATTGATCAGCGTTTTTATATATTTTTCTTTTCATTTCTCACCAATGCAACTAAAATGCGTCACAGCGAAGCTAGGCAGGGTACAGCTGGTTTATTATATTTATGTTACTATTTTCTTTAAGATCTAGACGTGACGACAACTGCAAGTAGCGATGAAGAAATCCAAACGTAGATGAATAGATGACACTTATTAGGGCGACTAATGGAAAAACTAGCGGTGTGTTTTTAGGTGAAGTCGACGCTAGAACAAGTAGAAGTCTTTTGAAGAGGTCTACGTTTTGCAGTCACCGTGACATGGCTGAGATGGAGATGATGATGAAATCTTACAGCATGAATAAATAAGTACATTGGTTGAATGTAGGTTAATGATGTAATGGACTTGTCAAAGCTTCTTAAGTTGTTTTATTACCCACGGTGTGTGTGTCCTTTGTATTATCAACTCAATAAACCCACTCTCCTCAATACAGAATTAAGTTTAAGATACTATTGCATATTACTAGACTATGATATGTAATAATGCACAACAAAACTGAATAATATAATGGCCCATAAAACATTGTCGGTGCCTGCGTCCCATTAAATATAGTTACTTTTAATATCGGTATCATTTTATGTTATTATTTTATATCAAAATAACTAATGTCAGTAAAAATTGATCAGAACCAAAAATCAGATTTAAATAACAATTTTAAATCTGATTTCTGGTTTAACTGGTTTAACATTATTTTGAATTTATTATTACAACTCCATTAATCAATTAATTATTTCAATTTAATGACTCTAAAACACATAATTTTAAAGAAGCTTATAAAAACAGAAATATGTACAATTAATCAAATTAAAAAAGGGCTAAAAACAAATCCTTAGACCATTTCCCCATTCATTAGAAACAACTTACAAAGAAAAAACATATAAAGGTGTACAGATTCATTTTTAGTTCCTCAATCCTTGATTATTACATACTTTTAAAATATCACACATATACTATCAAACGTAACAATATAAACATATAGTGATATTTTAAAAGTTGTGTTAATGGTATTATTTAGCAGCAAATTATTTTGGGTGAGATTATTTTGGTATATATTTCGTATAACACACAATCTCACACAAAATAATTTGCTGTTCTCGCAACCTAGTGTTCGCCAAAAAATATATTTTGAAATTCTGTTTTGTTCCATCCGTATAATATTATTGGAACGAAGTCACACTCTGAGCGGATGGAAGGGAGACCGAAAAATGTGTAACAAGACTTTTTCCGACACTTTAGTTGGCGCGTCGACCGGGGGTCCATAGACCCCTCACGCCGTTTTTCCGTCATTAAATTAAAAGGATAGTAAAAATCGCCTCTTGGTTTTTGCTCGTTGTATAGGTAGACTTATATACTATGATAGGTATGATAGGTGAACAGTGAATGCTTGTAGTTTGATTTAGCCATTTTCAAGTAATTGTTAAGTTTGTAATAGCTACATATTATTAGAAAACGTTAACTTTTAACGCTATTATACATTAGTATTCATTTTACGTATCTGCATTAGCGAAATTTTCTAAGAAAGCATTCAAAGAACTTTACTATGCAACCTTAAGTAATAATATGTACAATTAATACATAGATATCATCAATGCTAGCTAGCGTTTAATAGTCCACAGCTGGATATAGGCATCTCCTTAAAAAGGTGGTTTACATATATAGATTTAAATACATACTCGTAGATATTTTAAGTAAAAAATTAAGAACTTCACGTACTTATAAGGTTAGTAGAATATCTTGGTTGTGACATCCAAATAATAAAACTTAATTTATATTTTTACTCATGACTACGTAAATCGCAAGGTAACTTTTTAAGTAGAATAGGACCGAACGATATTATGACACCATGATATATAATACGCGTAGATTGTTCATGGGTATTCTTAGTGCCACAATAAATGTAAACGAAAGGTCATTTGGATACAAATTTTAAAAACTCATTAGCCCCGTCCTGTTAGGGTCTCGTAAAAATTTTGGTTCGTATCCTAATTGAGGTGAATCTTAGTTTACACAAAAGTAATTCTTTTATTCCTTTTCGATTCATTTTACATCGTTTTCTCTACAAAGTTCGTTTTAACTACAGCAAAGATGCTCTAAAATGAGGTTATTGAGGTTACCTCTCAGAGAGTATGACTAACAAGAAACATAATTGGGTCAAAATAGATTTTGTTGGGCGTATGAGTTGAACAAGTGAAAGAAGTCTAAATATTTTCAATCGCCGGTCTCTATATTTTAGTTAAATATAGGTAACTATGTTATTTGCTTTAAAATATAGTCTTCGCCACTCTTGAATAGCTTTCAAGAATTCTACTCGTACAAGTTTCAAAGTTCATCGACTACAAACAAGCAACTCTACCCTCTTTATAATTTCACTCACACGCCTCTAAATATCACCCACACAAATATACACACACATTGTACACAACATACAAAAAGGTTTTTTAATACAAACTAAAACTGTATATAAAACCCAAAAAGAAATGAACCGACAAATAAGAAAGCGGTCTATTGTACGCGCAATCATTAAATTAAAGGGGGAGAAAAAGTTAAAATGTTCAACAAGCCAATAATGCTCATTATGTGTGTAACAAGGGGGCAAGTGAGTCAGCAGATCACCAGCATGGCGGATTGCTTCGGCCTACTCGGACCAATATCACGACCTATTACTGCACAAAACAGGAGGCCGACGCGCCGCGTTACACCGTGAAACAGACCACCTCGGATCACATTTTTTCTCAATTTTCTAACACTTTTTATATTTACCTCACACGAAGAATATTTGGAGCTTTAGAAAGCTAAATTATTCTAAGTTAAGGATGTATCTTCTATATATCTTGACAATAATGCTTTGAATGTGAAAATTTGAATTTTCATAGAACCAATATTCTTTTTTCTTATTTCTTTATATAAAAACACCAACCGCTAAGTAGCATTCAATCTTGTAACTTACTTAGTTTGTTTTTAAATACCAAAATGGTGGCTAATATAATTCACTCAGTCCAAAATGTTATATTGTGCGGATTTCTGTGTTAAGTTGAGAAGCTTTACTTCACACGAATATTTGAAAATAAAATGAAACAAAACATAAAATGAATTTCTTTTAATATTTCTACTCAGTAGTTATAACAATCTAAACAATATTTACAGAAAATACTTCTACATAATAAACAGGAAACGAAATACTCAGTTCTCGACACTAAAATAAATAACAATCTTATACTACACTACTATAGATACAACAAAATAGTTTACAATAACTAGCTCAGTTTAATCCTATTTGAAATGAAGTCGGTAGATATTCATTTACTGACATTGACAGACTATTACTTACAACAATGATGACAGATTTAACAAATTGTACAAACTCAACTGACTTTTCTGTACATAGATCTGTTTGACTTAAATATTTAGTGTATTTAACTATAACTCACATTTATTATATTATTATCTAATCAGTAATTACATATATCTTATAAGTGAGATCACTTAAAACGGCATGTTACAATCTCAGTAGAGATGAATCGTCGGAATGTTCAACATAACTGTAGGCCAATTGATAGCCTCAATATAACTCTTTTAAGAGAATAAATATTTCACTAGATTACTAAATGCATTGCAGGTATGTAATATTTTTTTCTACCAAGTATTTTAGTTAAAGATCTTAAAGACCAGTTTATATTTTATTTAGTCTAAGAAGTTGGCGAAGTGCATTGACAACGCCGCTTCGTGTCTGAACTTTGCCAAAGAAAAACTACAAAACAAATGATACTTGTCAGGAACACTATAAATTACTGAATACTAGTGAGTACTTACAATCTAACATTGCACAAAATATTGGAGCAGGCGGTGCGTGAGCGGTGCTGTCACGCGACGGGCAGCGGCGGCGGCGGCAAGTAACAGGGTCGAAGCGCGTGTGCTGCCGCTTGCAGCAGCTCCGCGTGATAGCGCTGCGCCGCCAGCACGTACGGGCTCGGCATTGTCAAGTCCAACCGCGGCATGGTTGCTATTGACATCACCTGCGGCTGCGGCGGCGACGGTGACAACCGAGGTGAGTCTGGCTCCAATAATGCTTCGATTGTGAACGCTCTCCTAGGCCTCTGCGGGAACATTGTAATTGCTGCTGCTTCAGGAATCTCCGCCGGCTCAGGACTCAATTGAGGACAAAGGGGTGGCGTGTACAAACTAGCAGAAGGCATGGCTGGTGGTGGTGGCGGTGCGCCGGCTTGACGTGCCAAGAATGCGCGGTTAAAACTTGCAAGCGCTGCCAATTCTGCGTTTAAATTGTCTTTCTCGCCCTTTTGCAGCTTGAACCTCTTCCGTCTACGAAGAAGAGAGCCATTCTCAAACATGTCAAAGGCCTGCGGGTGTAGGGTCCAATAAGCTCCTTTGCCAGGCCTATCAGGGCGACGTGGTACCTTCACAAAGCAGTCGTTGAACGAGAGATTGTGCCGCAGCGAGTTCTGCCAACGCTGTGTATTGCGCCGGTAGTACGGAAAACGGTCCGTGATGAACCGGTAGATCTCCGACAGTGGCAGCATGCGCTCTGGTGAACTCCAAATCGCCATCGCCGTCAAGGAAATATAGGAATACGGTGGTTTCTGATCGCCATAAGATTCACGTGAGGGTCGCGGCATTGTCACGTACCCCGATGGGTGGACAAATTATGTTATAAAAGCAAGTGGTATTAACAACACGGGTATACGAACACGACAGTCCGGTGCGAGGTGTGTGGAGGAACTGAGGCGCAACGATAGCGACACACGGCCCGCCCGCCCGCTCCGAAGTGATGCAGCGCCCCGTACAGCAGGCACTGCTTTCACGCTATTGGCTAAACGCTAGGCCAATCGGTGCTCGGCACCTTCAGGTATGATGTCGGCTTTCGCTCCACTAACAAGGAATTTAAATTGATATTATGTTTATATTGCATCCAAATATCTTTTGTGATGACACCGCTTTTTATTTAGCATATGTAAATTACGGCGATACAGAAAAGGAGATTTGAATTATACAGCGATTTAACAATGAATGAGTGTTATTAAAACCCTCAGTATTGTAATGTAATTGACAATATAATACAGAGATACAAAGAGGTGCTACATTGTACATATTGAATTTAAATACCTATATAAACTTTTGCCTCTAAGCTCTCAATACTAAGATAGATTACATTACATTAGATTACATTCGGCAAAATATAAAGATTTGGTTTTGAACAAAAATGATTAAAATTAAAAGACTTACTAAGGTACATTTATCAACCTGATTTAATAAATAGTTGACGACATCGTGCTTAATAAGTAAGTACAGTAGTATATGTAAGTATTAAAGACATTAAAACTACCTAAAGTTTCGAACAATTTGCACTGTCCGTGGTCATAGTCTTAGTGACTGACTGAACGCTGATGTCAAACTAATTGTTATTTAGATAACGGCTTTAGTTTAATTAAATTTATTTATGATTTAATAGGTATATTAACTTATTTTTTACGCTGTGGTACTAGTAGTACTAGCAATGAATTTCAATTTTATTTATTCTAATATAGTTGACGTACTAAATAGAATCGTTTGTTTTAAAATTATTAAACATAAGTTGTACTAGCATATAACACAGCAAATAAACAACAATATATAAACTGATTATTTAGCCAGCACGTCGACCAATAACTTATATATCAAAATGTTAACAGAAAAACTCAAAAGACATGTATTTTTTTTAACTTAATTATCATAATAAAAAACACAATAATAAGCCTACCAACAATTATATTATTGCTTCTATGGTTACCATTATTCAACTACAGTAATAATGTTTTTAAACAACGTCCTTTCTCCAAAGAATGGCCTCCATATTATTACCTTTGTCGCAATGGCTGGATACATACCTATCAACTAGTACCTATCTAGTGCTAAGTTATCACTAAATTCCAAAGCATGAGTTATGTATAATTCTAAGCAATAGTAGGTACATATACGTCACACGCTGAAAATACCATGACTTCTGTAGGGTTGTACTTGACTTATTTTTGACGGGCCTGTTGGTGTAGTGGTTAGTGACCCTGACTGCTAAGCCGGAGGTCGTGGATTCGATTCCCACCCAGGACAAATAATTATGTGATGAGCACGATGATTTGTTCTATGCCTGGGTGGAATTTATCTATCTATGATATGTATGTATTTAGAAATATATAAGTATGTTTATCAGCAGTCTGGTTACCATAGGCAGACTCTGCCTAGTTTGGAACCAAACGGCCGTGTGTGAGATGTGTGAAGATATTATTATTTATTTATGCGTATAAGACTACATACAAATAATTGATTATAATAATTTCGTCATTATTTACCTGCTTTTCCCCAATTTTGGGACGGCGCAATATGTAGCATTGCAAACGGACGTGTTTATGATTATTTTAAGATGGGACAAAGAAGGCAGTTCAATTAGGATAAGGACAATGAATTGGTAGAGGAAGTTACTATGAGATACTTACCGCAAGTTCCACATGGGAAACGGGACTAAGGCAGCAGTAGCTCGAAGATATGAGGACGATTACCGATACTCGATTACCACAGGAGCATCAACTAGCCCGTCATTATAATTTCTTTAACAAGTTACTATGTTAAAACTAGTTATACGTTTAAGTATAAGTATAGTATATAACAATAAAATGATAATTGAAATAAAATTCAGTGGTCACATTTAAAAGAAGAATTTACGTGAAACGACAGTACGGGTGTAATTGAATGATCTAAACTAGGTACTTGTTTACATTCGCATATGTTTTGGGAATTTTTCATATCTGCATCCTCCTTAGTCCATTTTATTGTTTAATAAAAATCACTTGCTTTTTATAACTACCTGACGCTTTTTCACACAAAGCGTAAAATAAACCTAAAAAATATGTTTTTTTTTCATCAATTTAAAATATGGGTTTAATTATAGCAATATAAAATAAGAAGAATGACTGCACGGATCGCGTAGTGGGTTAAGCGGTTTCCAAGCCGCTTACTACTACGCCGAGTGTTGTGGGTTCGAACCCCACATGGGACGCACCTTGTGTGATCCACAAATTGTTGTTTTCAGTCTGGGTGTTCTTTGTGTATGTTTGTAAGTCCCTCGCGACACAGGATATATTCCTAACGCGGGAGTTGCCTTAAGGCTGTTTGTTTTGATAACAGGAAAAACCATTTCGGAATGAAATAAAAGAGTACGTAAAAGAAGGAAGAGAAGAAATTAATTGCATATCATCAACAGCCTTTAACAGTCCACTGCTGGACATAAGCCTCTCCTTATAGATACCTAAATAAAATTTGAGAAAATGGTAGGATGATGATGATGAGTTAAGACAGTATTATTGAACTGATCACACCCTATAACTTGTTGTTTCATGCGTTTCTATACAATTTATGGGTAAAAAATATTTTACTTATTTAAATAACGACCTATGTCCTGCAGTGGACTATTAAAGGCTGTTGATGTGTGATGTAAAATAACGACCTTTTGTATTTTGACAAACTTTTTTTTTAATATAAAAGAGATTAAAATGTAAAAGATTAAAGTTAAGACGATAAACACGTATTCGCTATTAATCGAATATTGTAATCCAACGCGTAAAATAAATTAGATGTTAATCCCACGATTCAGTTTAGTATTGACATTTAGAAAGCAAAAAACTTTAATAGAAGTGTCGATCACGAAGTAGCTTTTTTATATTGTTATTTATTGTTATACCGTTTCCGAAATTCGTGAATGGTTTCGAGTTGAATGATCTATGACAAAAACATGGCTGTGACATCTTTGGCGGCGCGGCTAACCACTCAATATTTTTTGTACGTATCCATTTATTGAACATCTAAATATGGGTGGTTTCATTCGCAAATTTTATCTTAATTTTTTTATTGATTGAAAATGGCATTTGGGTTTTTTGTTTTACTTTTTGATTGAGTGATATTTTTTAAGGTTTGGTTTACTTGATTCAATTCAATTCGTTTATTGCAGTCTATAATGTACTCGTATACACTGATCTTATAAATGTAGAAATAAACCATTATGGACCCTGTCGGGCACGGCAAAATAAGGAGAGAAAAGCAAACATTCTATCATCATATTGAAATCTAGTTTAGTAAATAGAACTAAGTAGATATTTCTTCTATTGCTCACGTATTAATTAAATTTAGTATATTTTAGTACATTATTATCAAATATTGATTTGTTTTTGTAGTATATTATATATTACTAATATAAATTATTCAACTTATTTTCTCATTATATGTTATGTTAATTATTCAAATTTGTCGTTTAGATATTCATTTATATGATAGTAGCGTTTTTTAAAATTAATTATCGATTTGTGTTTCGTGAAAATGTTAAAGCTAGTTGCCTATTATATTAATCAGAAAGTAACACAAACATAGACGACATTACCTAAATCATTAAATTAACCATAGAAACATAAAAGAAGGAATAGTGATACAACTCGTATCGAATCAAATTAAATCTGAATGTGAAAAAATTGATCTCGTTACTAATACAAGGCTGCTAAACAATATTACTTTACCTATACTTGACCCCGTAAATTCATAACAATTTGGTGTTGTTTTTATAAGCCTAATACCTAAGCTAAAGTGCTTGTGTTAAGACTAGATTCACGTCGGTCGGGTACTCGCTGGGGTTCGAAACTTCGAACCCACAATAAATTTATCATAAGTCCCTACCTTTATTACGCTAACGCTAGCTAAAAATTCTTCTTTTAAGCAAGCTTTTCTTTTAGGTAGCTAATAGACTAATAAATAATCGGCTTTTAGTCAGCAAAACGCAAGTTTAAATTACCAAGTTTATTTTCTACACAGATACGCCAGATTAAAATCCAGCTATTGCGAGATACATTAAATTTTAACAATTTACTTGAAACTCGTTAGTCGTGACATGATGTTTGTCACCATTGCAGTCCAAATGCAAGTAAAAAAAATGAGTGCCTTAAAATGCAATATAAGCTACTACTACTCGCATAAGTTACAGTATTTTATCAACACTAGATCACCAAAGGGGTAGGCAGTAATTTAACAAACGCCAAAATTTTGCAAAAACATGGATTAGGGAGTCTAAGTAATAGCTCGAATAGATCAGAGGCCCGAGTGTAAATTTATTTCACATCAACTTGGTGCCGACATGGAGCGCGTTTGGCGTTGCGATTGGTGAAGATTTCAGTGCGGGCCAATCGCATCGCCGAACGCGGTTACCATGACGATCGAGTAGATGTGAAATAAAGTCACACTTGGGCCTCAGAGGGCCTAGTGTAAGTTTATTTCACATCAAGTCGGTGCCGACATCGAGCGCGTTCGGCGTTGCGATTGGTAGAGATTTCAGTGCGGGCCAATCGCAGCCCCGAACGCGGTTACTGTGACAATCGAGTAGATGTGAAATAAAGTCACTCTTGGGGCTCTGGCTCGCATACGGTAAATTTGAGAGAACCTTGCTACACCACAAATGGGCCGACTCGACCGGGGAGATACCACGGCCTCACAGAAAATTGTTGTCAAGTAATTCTTTAGTTACTTTTCACCGAGTAGCTGAGATTCTTCTTCTTCAGCCTTTAGCCAACCACTATTAGGTTACTGGAGGGAGCCCAAACCCCCCCTG